CCGAACCTTGTTTGAATTTAGATATTTTGAGAAAGCGAGTTAGTGTTTCATACCAGGCTCTCGGGGTTTGCTTCAAACCATATACTGCTTTTTCCAGAATGTAGCAATGATCAGGATACTTCTCGTTTACAAATCCAGGTGGTTGCTCAACGTATAAGGTTTCTTCTAGTTCTCCATTTAAGAAAGCACACTTTACGTCCATCTGAAAAACTTCAAAGTTTTTGTGTGCAATATATGCCAGAAAGATTCGCACCGATTCCAACCTTGCTACTCGAGCGAAAGTCTCTTCATAGTCTATCCCTTCTTCCTGACAATATCCCTTCACCACCAACCTAGCTTTGTTATGAATTACATTTCCCTCTTTGTGCATCTTGTTCCTGAAATCCCATTTTAACCCGACTACAGATGCATCCTTTGGTTTGGGAATCAGCCTCCAAACCCAGTTTTGCTCAAACTCATTGACTTCGTCCTGCATAGCTTGTACCCAATCAGAGTGATCAAGTATAGTATTCACTTTTTTCGGCTAAATCTTGGAAATGAACGAGTTAAACATACAAAATTCTACTTGAGAGAATAAAGCAGTTTCCTTCGCTTTCAGTGGAGAGCGTGTGAGAACTCTCTCAAATGATTCGCCAATTACTTGAGTTGTTGGATAATCGCGTGTCCATTTTACGAGTGAAGGATAATTTGGATCATAAGCAAGATCCAATTCAACATTTATTTCTTCTTCAAAATCTTATTGAGAATCTTCTTCATTTGTTTTATTATTCCCTCCCCCCTCGAATGACGACACAATTTCAACATCCGGTTCAGAATACTCCCCCTCGGTTGGACTTCAATGGTTTGAAGTTGGTGACGAAACAATTTCAACATTCGGTTCAGAATACTCTCCCTTGGTCGGACTTCCATGGTTTGAAGTTGGTGATTGATTCTCCCCCTGCAAAAGTGGAGCTTTTTGTTGGAGGTTCATAGGAAGTTTGACGATCGCTTGAGTCTTGAGGGTTGCTTGGATTTTGCTTCTTGGTTGGAACTTGACCTTCGCTTTCCATGCCTTTGGCAGTTTCATCGATGATCTTTTTCAAGTGGTCGATTTTATTATCGGCTGCTTTTGCTTCAGAGTGGATTGCTTTCTCTGGTTCATCAAAGAGCAGCATGTATTCTTCAAACAAATTAGATATATGAACCGAGACATGACCTGATTTTGGAAACATTTCCTCCATTGAACTTTCGCTTGTTCGAAGTTTCTTTATGTAGTTATCATCAAAAGTAACATAATAAGTTTCCTCAATTTTATTTGAACGCTTATTTAGAACCCTATATGCCTTTGAGGTGAGTGAGTAACCAAGAAAAATCCGTTCATCTTCCTTTACATCAAACTTGTTTCGGTTCTCTTTAGAATTAAAAATGAAGCACCTGGAACCGAAAACATGGAAAAACTTGACATTTGGCTTACGATTATTCAAAAATTCATATGGAGTGATGGAAAATCTCCTATTGAGGATGGATCGATTCTGGGTGTAGCAAGCAGTGGCTATAGCATCAGCCTAGAAGTATAAAGGCAGAGAAGCAAAGCTAAGCATGGTTCGGGTGGCTTCAACAACTAGACTACGGGTTGTTATTCTAGTAGACATAACCCGAAAGCCACGCAAACCAGATCACTCTAGACTTTTTACACTTGCTCAATCTCTAAAGCTAATTTGGAAACTTTGGAATGGGAGTAAAGCCCGGCGAACCAATCTCGATAGTAAGCATTGGGCGGGCGATAGGGAGGACGGTCTCTGGATTTCTTTTTGCTGGCAAGGCATAAGAGCCGTTACCTATGGCCTGTGTGGTCTTGGAATTACCTTATAAAAGTAAAACTTTTCTTTCGAGATTAGGTTGGTGTTCCGTTTTTTCGGATGCTTTTCCGTTAAAGAGAACTGCAAGAATGAGAGGGCAGATATGATAGAGCTGCACTCTCGGACCGCCACCCATATTATGGAGGATCTGTATCTGCCTCATGAGCCGGATGATTGCCTCCGCGAAATGCTGGAGGATCTAAGGGGTTTCCGAATTAGCTTTAGAGATTGAGCAAGTGTAAAAAGTCTAGAGTGCTCTGGTTTGCGCGGCTTTCGGGTTATGTCTACTAGAATAACAACCCGTAGTCTAGTTAAAACCCTCTTTTACAAGATTACAGACTAAAAGGACTCACTTTCTTTCTGAATCCACTTTCTCTATTGACATATAATAGTCTCGACTTGAGAGTTCTGTTAGATCGCTTACAGTCCCCGTAGTGTCCAGTAGCTGTCTCTTTTTCTTACCTTAACCTTAGGCAAGCGAAAGACAGAGGCTTGAAATCAAAGTTAAGATATCTCCATCCGGTGGGAGTTGCTATCCATATAGTTCCATGGAAGTTCTACTTGCAGCCATTGATAGTTCTCTTGCATCCGCTTTCAATCCAGCAGAGTAAGGGGCAAAAGGATCTGACGCAAGTTGGAGGATCGACAGAAAGCTAGGGTTTTTCTTCTCCCTTATTATCCTTTTCTAAGGAACTAAGGAGTTAAAGATATCTCGCTTAAGGAGATATCTAACCAAGCGATTCACCTGATCCAGACACGCCAATAGGCGGGTTTGAAGATAGTAACTAAGAGTAGTGGCATTCTCATCAAAAGGATAAGTAAGTTCGCAATCCAATGATAACGTGAAAAATGGTGCTTTTTTCTGTGCATATTCCCTGGTGAGGATATGCATATAATATTTTAGGTATTAGAGTGCATCAAGATTATAGGTTACAGTTTCTAATCTATAGGATTGATTCTGGCTTCTATAGGACTACTAACTAGATTATGCTTTCTCTCCGGGCCTTTGCTAAAAACGTTGGAAGGAAATCTGTGCAAAGGCTTTCTGTGGGTAAGGCAAAGGTAGATGTAATATTGCGATATGTGTCTTACCTTGGTAATTCCTTTATTTACCTAGTGGGTCTAACTTTATGTCTAAGGAAGAGGATAATCGCCCTAAAGAGCGTGCCTAGTCCTTCTCGAATCCTGAGAGTTCTGTTCCATTTCGTAAGCGAGTGTTCAGTGTGAAGTACTTCCATTCGCCCCTCCTCCAATTGCGGACTCCTTGTCAGAAGAGTTATCAAGCGCAAGGGAAAAGACTAGCAAGCCAATTACAGTCTTAGGGGTTGGTGTTCGAATTCTCTTCTCATTGGATCCAGTTGGAATTGTAGTTCTCTTTGCTGTTGTGCCAAGCGAGGGAGTTCTTTGATAACTCTACCAAGAATTAGGGTGCAGGCAAGTTTACTCGCTTCTCCTCGAATTGCATAAGAAAGATGGTTCTGGAGAGAAATCCTACCCGCAAGCATTTGCTTATAGAATGGTGGAGGGAGGAAGAGGTAGCAATACATTCCGCCTGATGCTTGATCACTGCATTCGTGATATATCAAATGAGCTCTCCGATCTATGATGAAGAGTTCCTGTAGATAGGATCATATTTCTTTCTAGTCCTAAGCATTTTAATTGGAGCTTTCTCCTTGACTTAAGTTTTGGAATATTTTCATCCGGGATTGGAACGACCTATGTTGTAACGGAGGAGAGAAGGTGAACCAGCTTCCTTTGGTCGCCTCTCCCATCTGGTCGAGTAGATTTCGCTCCTTCCTACTTACTTTATTATAATATAAGCGGGTGGCCTATTAGGAGCTTTTTAGTCATAGTGGGAGCTTTTGGAAATAACTTTGCAGGTCAAGATCATAGGAAGAGGGAAGAACAAGGGAGAAGATCTTTTTGAAAAGAAGACGATTCCAAAAGAAACTCAAAACGGAGAATAGGTTGCCTTAAAGGTAAATAAGAAAGATCATAAATAAAAAAGAAAGAAACTGCCTAGCCCGCGAGAAACAGAAGGTTAGGTTAGGAAGGGAGAAAGGATATTTACCAAGACTACTGAAATAGCACAGATTCGGCTTGGGAGTTCTCACTCGGGCTACTAATCTCCTCTTCTCCTACTCATAAGAACCAGAACAGGCACTCGTAATCGTCCCTAACCTCTGTCTCTAACCTATTCCTTTTCCTCTGTCCTTTTACCCTTTGAACAGCAAGCCGGAACTGGATTACATTTCAATAGAGAAAGCTATCAATGGTCACATTGAGACGGGAACAGATGGGAAGTTCGCCCTCCAGTTCTATTCCTTTGGATGAGACGGTGGTGAGCAATCGATAGAGAGCAAGGGATGCTAGCGCTCTTCTACTCATATTCCTTACTTCAGTTGGTTCAGGAAGCTTTGGCATCGAGACGCATTACGATAGCTATAGCTAGGCCGGGTGGGATTCTCTCTCTATCTAATGGTTATGCAAAAAGTGATGAATCAAGTGGATCCTTTTCCCCTTACCTCAGTAGCTGGGAAGGCAGGCCCTTAGCTTCAACTAGTTCAGTTTGAGTCTTTCTCAGGAGTAGTTGCATTGCAAGTAGGCAGAAAATAAGTAGTGCGTTAGCTTATCTGTTCATTTTCAAACAACCCTTGTTTGTGCTCCTTTATCTTTCTAAGCCGCTCTCGCTAGTAGGGAATCTAGTTCAGCAAGGTCCATAGGGTGAGCTCGCTTGAAACTGGGGCCCGTCTGGTGGTATCGTATATAAGATCACACGGCTGCTTGCTTTTAGGAGCAATCTGTTCATCCAACTCGAAATATCGTAAGTAAGAGAAGAAGAAGAATCTGACGCCCAAAATTCCCATGTCTTTCTTGGTTGGACCAACCGGCGAAATCCGTCTTCCTTAATTGGAAGAGCAAGAACAAGTCTCTCCATTTTTTTGGGGGAGCAGAGCAGTCAAAGAATGAAACAGATCAAATGATTGTTCTAGAATGGCTATTTCTCACAATTGCTCCTTGTGATGCAGCGGAACCATGGCAATTAGGATCTCAAGACGCAGCAACACCTATGATGCAAGGAATAATAGACTTACATCATGATATCTTTTTCTTCCTCATTCTTATTTTGGTTTTCATCTCACGGATCTTGGTTCGCGCTTT